CGGGCTCAGCGCGGCCTCCCCTGTGTGCTCGCAGGCGGCGGCAGCGGCCCCTTCCAGCGTCTGCCGGCCAGCGGGCTTCCAGCGGGACCTGGCGGAGGTGAGTCCGCGTGGGGCAGCCGGGGCTGCCCAGTGTCTCGTGTCCTCACGGAGGGGACTGGACCCCGGTCCTTAGGGCTGTGGGGCGCCAGTGCCGACTGCCCGCTGTTTGCGCCGCCTTTTCCCGCCGCCTGGGCTGCCCGGGGCTGCGGGGTGGCAGCGTCAGGCCAGGGGCGGGTCCCGCGGGGCGTCCTGGCCGTGGCCCGCGCCCTGCCCGGCAGCAGACGCCTGTCGGGCGACAGCGGAGCGAGGGTGGGGGAGCTTCGCCTCCGGCCGGGGCCTTTCGTCAGGCGTCCAGTCGTTGCGCTCACCTGGCGCCAGCTCCTGCCCCGCAGAGCAGCTGGCTCACCACGCCGCTGCCGCTGCCCTGTCCCCTGGCCGCGGGCTGCCGGCGGGTGGGCAGAGCGTCGGGCCTGGGAGCGGACGCCCGAGGGTGGCTTGTCCTCGTGGCTTTGAGGCCTGAGGGGGACTGGGGAGGACGTGGGGCCGCTGGTTCCCCGTCCAAGGGGACGGGACCGGCCCCCGCAGCACCCCACCTGCTCTCCAGTGCGCGCCGAGCCTGGCTGAGCCCTCGGCACCCAGGGACCTGTGTGCCCGCCCCTGCCTGCCCTCAACCACACGTCTGGCCCGCTGCCATGGGGCTGCGTTTTGGGGTGCCGACACCCCCACAGCAGAGCCTGGGTGGGTGCACGGCCCTGCCGGGCCTGACATTGGCCCAGACTGTGGGTGCCGTGGTCGCCATGGTCGCCATGGTCCTGCCTGCCAGCTGGGAGCCGGCGCCGCGGCCGCTTCCCCCAGAGTCCCTGCTGCAGCCAACTGGACCAGCTCAGACTGGCAGCCTGGCACCTCGGCGTGCCCACCTCTGCCCGGGGTGGGGGGAGGTTTCCATGCCTGTGCAGTCCGGCCCAAGCGGGGGCCTGGCTTGACAGGCGACGCTTCTGACCACAGGCGGCCCCAGCTGCCTCCCTGCCCCCCCCCCACGCCGCTGACAGGGTTCCCGCTGTCTCTGCAGTCTGGCCACCTCCGTGGGCACAGTGACCGCAGCACAAGCCGCGGCCGCAGTCCTGGAAAAGCGGCAACGCCTGGCACCTGCACTGCTGCGTGTGACCAGCCGCAGAGTCGGGCGCGGTGCAGGTGGGTCCGTCTGCGTCTCTGAGCCCCGGGAGGGGCCCAGCACCCCCCCCCACCATGCTGTCTGTGTGAATAAAGATTTTGCAGTGGCCCTGAGCTCCTAGTGTCCTCTCTCCTGCGGCCGGGCGCTGGCCCGTGGGTGTTGGGGGGCCGCCAGAGAGCGGTGCTGCCCACTCAGATGTTTCCTCTGGTCACTTTACCCCTCGGAGGTGCGTGTGGGTCCGTGACCTGCGAGCCAGCACCCCTTCCTGCTCTCGCGCTGTGGCCAGGCACCACTGCCACCGTACGCCAACGCCCAGTGAGGGCTCAGAGCCCCCCACCGCGGAGACGGTGGCTCCCTCAAGTTGACCAGAACACGTGCGGTCAGCTGGGAGCGAGGCCAGCCCTGCTTCAGCACCTGCAGGCCACGCAGCGCCAGGCACGTCCAGGGCGAGGTCAGGCTTGCGCAGGGGCCCCCACCTGCCCAGTGTGCCCATGCCAGGTCGACTGTTTTGCTGCCGGAATTTCCAGCCTGCGCGTCTCCTGCCAGGCTTGGTGACCCTGGCTCTTAGCGCCCAAACGGCACCAGCCCCCCGCCTGCCCCAGGCCTGCCCAGTTTAGGGCGCTTGTTTGCCTCGTTGTTGGAAATCTCCTTTGGAGTCCTGGGCCTCCCGTGCAGGCGTGGCCATCCGGTGGGAGACACGGTCCCTCGGGCCTCTGGGCGCACTGTGGCCAGCCTGAGCGCCAGAGACCTCTTCCCACGCAGGCCTCGCCCTGCACCCACCCCCCAGGCGGCCCGAGCCTGCCACTCCTGTCTGGGCATCGGTCAGAGGAAGCCCCAGCCCAGCTGGGACCTGCCCCAGGCCTGGCCCTGGCCAGCGGGCATCATAAACACACCCGGGAGGGTGCGGCTGCTCCCGCGGGTGGGTCACTGGTGCCTGGGCTGAGGGGCCCACGTCGGCCACAGTGGTCCCATGAGGGACACTGGGCCCGCGGGCTGGACCTTTCACCCGTCAGCATCGCCTGTCTCTGGCAGTGAGAGTGACCCCAGCTCACTTCCGTCCTGCTCCGCCACTCAGAAGCTGCTCCAGACTCGGGGTTAGGAGCGCCGGGGGTGAGCAGAACTGGACCTGTAGGTCAGCTCAGGCCTGGGGCAGCTCCTCGGGCCAGAGGCTGCCCTGGTCACCTGCACCACCCAGCTCTGGGCGCGTGGCCTACCCAGCACACCTGTGCAGGGCTGGCTCTCCGCCCTTCTCTGCGCCAGCCTCAGCACCACCCTCCAGCCCCTGTGCACACTACCTCCTGCCCACCTCGGGGGCACAGCCCCACAGGCGGGGTCTCAGGCGCCCAGCGGCCGCACCAGCAGTCTGTCCTCAGGCCCAGATGGGTGCAGCCCCTGCGTGCAGGCCGGCAGGGCGGGCAGTGGCCTCGGGACCAGCACAGCACCGCTGCCTGAGTGCCCGCAAGGCGTCCTCTCACCAGCTCTAGCTGCTCCCTGCAGTCACGTCTCAACGTGGCCAAAGGTTTTTCCAAGTTAAAACGTCACGTTTGTCCCCCTATGCCTGGCTGGTGTGGGCGAGGGCAGCAGGACTCGTCCCTGTCCGGAAACAGCCCTCGGCGGGGTTTGGCAAACATTTATTGTTTCTACCTCCAGGTTTTCTAGTAGACAGACACGCGTAGAACGCAGCTGACCCCAGGAGCACACTACACTGCACAGGGGCGGCTGGGCCGCGGCCTCCGGCCAGGGTGCGGTGGGCCGACGTGCGTCCGTCTGGCCCGGGCCTCCCACGCGCCCACAGGGCAGCGTCTGGCCGAACCGAGTCACGACAGGGCCGCGGCGAGGCGGCCTCGGGGCTCCGGGGTCCGTCCCGTGCGTCGCTACCAGGCGG